AAGTGTCGTTATTAGTTCACATTTGTTACCATCTTCCTTGGTTCTCGCGATTTCAACAGAACTCTTCGGTCCATCACCAACAGAAGTAAAGGCCAACACTTGGAATTCATAGTCTGTGTACTTGTCTAGTCCAGTGACATCTTTACTATCAATCGTCTCATTTCTAATGGGTAAAGTGTATGGTAACCCGCTCGAGCCTCTCTTTTTGTAGTATAATTTAAATCCCCGGACAATTCCATGCCTGGATCCAACAGATGGTAGCTGCCAGGATACTCTAACACTCGTAGACGACCTTGAGATCACGCTGAAGTTTCTTGGAGGTTGGGATGGAACTAGAAATAAAATAGTTGCTTTAATTTCTTTATTCCCACATAAAATAGTACATAAGGATTACCGTCATCTACGGTGTTTCCAAGGTAAGTGTCGATCTTTAAAGAACTGTTACGAAGCAACACTCGTTAAATGAATTGTTGTTTATGGATTAAAAATTAATTACAACGTGCTAACACAATTAATGTTCAAGAGGTAAAAGAAAGTTCGTCCGATAATACCGATACACTTTTCAGGGATGTTTAAGTTGTACTTAATATTTAAAAAGTTTTTAATCCAGTAAACAGGAGGAAAAAAGCTGCCATCTTCCATTGTTCTCCCGACAACAACAGCACTCCTTGGTCCATCACCAAAAGACGTGAAGGCTAACATTTGGAATTCATACTTGGAGTATTTATCAAGCCCAGTCACATGTTTATAACGAATTTTTCCGTTGCTCATAGTTAAAGTAGCCGGTAGTCCTGCAGAGCCTCTCTTCTTGAAGAACAATTTAAATCCTGTGATGATTCCATTTCTGGAGTCTGCCAGGGGTAACTGCCAAGATGCTGTGATACTGGTAGAATCGCACGCCTTCACTGAGAAGCTACTTGGGCCTATCGAAGGGACTGAAGGTAAACGTAGAAACACTTGTGTAACAATACTGAATCCATACCACAATTAATGATATTCCTCGTAAAGAATTATTAATGATAATTCATTATAAAAAGATTAAGCTTCCAATACTGTGCTGAAGATTAGAACATAACGGTAAGGTTATGTGACTGACAGCTATTTTTGTAGCTACGTGGGCAAATAAAAGTATCGCCAAAGAACCTGTATAACCACTATTGGTAAATCTTTTCTTGGAAAGTGGTAACAAAAGCCCGTCTTTCTCAGCTCACTTTCCTTACCATCTTCCTTCGTTCTTACGACTTCAGGAGAACTCTTTAGTCCATCCCCAACAGAAGTGAAGGCTAATACTTGGAATTCGTATTCTGTGTACTTGTCTAATCCAAAGATATCTTTGGCACGAATCTTCTCATTTCCAATAAATGTTGTGTTTGGCAACCCGGTGGAGCCTCTCTTTCTGTAGTAAAATCTAAATCCTCGGACAATTCCATTTCTGGAATTCTTTGGTGGTAAACAAGAACTTTCGGCCTGTGAGTAATTTAAGTACCTTTTTTCTAAGTACCTTTCAGATTTAATTAGTATTCAACGGCCTTCGTCCTACCATTTGAGGCGCAACGACAATAGTCGTTTGCTAGAAAGTCCAGGTGTGAAAACTAAGAAAACATTAGGTGACAGAGCTTTCCTGGTAGCTGCTCCTTTCCTATGGAATATGCTGCCAAGGTCCGCGCGCGAAGCAACGAACTTAGAATCTTTTAAGATTTTACTTAAGACATTTCTATTTAAGGAATCCTTTCAGTTATCTTAGTATATCTATATTTTTATTTGCAATTGTCTTTCATTAATTTAATGTAAATAAATATATATAATTTATGATTTTTATAGAAAGAATTGCATAATTTTAGTTATTAATTACTGTTGCGATGCGCTTTTGAATATTTTATAGAAAAGGCGCAATAATAAATGTTATTGTTATTGTTGTTAACTGCCAGGATGCTGTAATACTGGTAGAGGAGCTTGCGACCACAGAGATATTTCTTGGAGCTTTCGATGGGACTGCAATTTCATTTTAAAGTTAAATCATGCTAGGCATAATTATTTAAGCTCAGTAAAGACGGAGATAATTAAACATAGTCGATCGAGACAAAAGGTCATAGGATCTGAATATCTTCACAGACAAGAAAACAAGATGAGTCAGCGAGGGCTTTCTTTCAGAAAAATCATCTTTTTCACATCTACATCTATAAAAAGAAAGCTATATGCAAAGAGGGAAATTCCTTTTCATATGACTAGGAAACGAAACAATACTCCATAATCTCTTACCGTCTTCTTTTGTTCTTTCATTCCTTAAAGAACTCTTTGGTCCATCACCGACAGAAGTGAAGGCCAACATTTGAAATTCATATTCTGTGTACTTAACAAGCCCAGTGATATCTCTAACAGTGGTTGTTCCATTATTAATAGTTGTTATAGTTGCTGGTCCTCCAAAGCTTTTTCTTTGATAAAAGAATTTAAATCCTATGATGATTCCATTTCTGGAATCTGCTGGTGGTAACTGCCAGAATGCCGTTACACTAGTTGAAGAGCTTGCAGTCAGGGTGAAGTTAGAAGGAGGTCCCGAAGGAACTGCAATCTGGGAAATAACTGAAATCAGTATATATCATTAATCGTATGATGTACCATGTTCTGTGACTGGCCAAATTTTATATCTTTTTCACCTTGATTTATCACATACCATCTTCCTTGGTTCTCGTCACCTCAACGCAACTCTTTGGTCCATCACCATCAGATGTGAAAGCCAAGACTTGAAATTCATATTCTGTGTACTTATCAAGTCCAGTGACATTCTGAAGCAATGTTGATCCGCTGTTAATAGGCAAGGTGGTTGCTGGGCCAACGGCACTTTTTTCTTTATAGAACAGTTTAAACCCTGTAATGTTTCTTCCATGTCTCGCGAGTACTGGTGGTAACCGCCAGGAAGCTGTAATGCTAGTAGAAGAACTTGCAGTCAACTTGAAGGCTGCAGGAGGTTGTGATGGAACTGAAATAAACAACACCAGTTTTGTGCTCAATTGTTGATGTGTATCTACATTAACCATCATAGCGAACTGGAAAGCACTGGATATTCCTCAGAGCAATGCGGAAGATCATCAGCAGTATAGGGGCTGTGTATATGCATTGGATATACATTCTCTATACTGAACATGAGTGTGAAGTTGCAGCTTTACAAAGTAAAGACAGAAAATTCTGTTCCCTTGGAAACCCTACTGAGTTCCACAATCCATGACGCCGAAATCCCAACATCAAGTTATAAAGAGCATGATTAACAATTAATCTAAAGCACAACTTTGTTTGGCGAAAGCTGAACCTGAAGGATCTCTGCTAGGTCTATGTGATATTTAAGGTCCACGTATATTCTCCAATAGTCAGCTCCAAATCTATTTCAACCATTCACACTTGACCAAGACTCAGTTAATCTTTATTGGAGAATACTGACTCTACCTCTTGCCTTTAGCTCTTTGTTCGATCCTTTAGCTTGCACACATAATTATTTATTGTGACTTCAATTTTGTCGCAAGGGATAGCAAACAAATACCTTTAGTTAAAAGAATTCCATAAACTTCCACTCTCAGATCCTTCCAACTACTATAGGCTGTTGGCTGAAAGCGGATGAACTTTGCACTTGCAAATTCATGTAGACTGTTTTTAATGATGCCACTTTGATTTGAGTTTCCAGAGAAGACCTGTAGTTTTTTGTACAAAATGTAAAATCATTGTAAGAAAATTTTCTTGTACTGCACCGTTAGTTACCATAACTTTAAGAGACTGGATTGAACCCAAATGCCAACAAACTGAACACTGCTTTTGTGTCTGG